ATGAGGACCCGGATTGTTGTTGGGGGCAATATGCTGACTCTGCAAACCGCTTAGAGAGGGCTGAAAGCCCTGTGAAGCGGTATATAAGTCTAACTGCTATTGCTATTGCTATTGCTATAGATAGAAGAGAGAGAGAGAGAGAAAAGAAAGAGGGGGATGGATGGATGAATGGATGGGTAGATGGGTGGATGGATAGGTGGATAGATAGGTGGATGGATGAATAGATGGATGGATAGATGGATGAATGGATGGATGAGTAGATGGATAGGATAGATGGATATATAGATGATAGATAGAAGAGAGAGAGAGAAAAGAAAGAGGGGGGAATGGATGGATGGGTAGATAAATAGATGGATAGATAATAAAGAGAGAGATAGATAGATCAGAGGTGTCAAACTGGGGGCCCATAGGCTGGATGTGTCATATGCGGACCACACCGGCTTCAGCTCAGTGAATGGGGAAAAAATTGCACCAGCCACGTGATGGCAATGTGGCAGCGCAAGTTTGACACCCGTGAGATAGAAACGATGGATAGTTGGATTCATGGATAGGTGATAAATAAGAGAGAGGGGTGGGGTAGATGATATACAGATAGACAGATAGGCTGATAGATAAGACACAACAATGTCTCTTGAATTTTTAATTCAAGAATATTTACTGATGGACAAAAAGTTTTTGTCTCTAATAAGCGCAGTGAGATTATTAAACCCACCAAAATGTCAGAATGCAGAAAGAGCCACAATGGGGCAGTGAAGGGTGAAGATGGCCGCGTTTGCAGAAATAGCATCATTGGTTGGTTTGCTCAAGGAACTACAATGGCTTTCATAAAACACAAGGACTTTTGTTTTATTTTATTTTTTTGCTGAAAATGGTCAAAAGGGAATTGGGGATTTACCGATTAAGGGTTGTTTATGGGAAGAAGGGAAGCATGCTATTCACTTTCTCTTTTATTCTTCCATATCTTTTTTTTTCTTGGTTTGTTCTTTTCATGTTTCCGTGGTCTTCCAATTTTGCGCCAAATAATAAATCTTTAATAAAATTACGTGATTTAAAGCTATTTAATTGAACGTTTGATCTCACCATGGAACTCTCTGCATCTATAAAATAGCCATTCTCAAACATGTGTGTATTGTTGAAATAAGCAATTAGGAAGAAATGGAAGGAACAGAGAAGTGGCATTTTGATGTAATAAGGTGTGTTGTTTATTAGTCATAGAAGCAATGTGATGCTGTTTATTTCAATGTCTCGTTATCCTGTATCTTTCTCTTCTTCCTTTTTTCCTCCAAACAAAAAAAAAAACAATGATGAAGTCAATCTCTACCCCACACGCCATGTACGCACACACGTACACACAAAAGACACACGAACACACACACACACAAAGACACAAACACAGAGGGGGAGGAAGAGAGAGAAATAGACGGATGGAATTCTGATAGTTAGAAGAAACCCATGAATGAATGTAGACAGTATTTTTGTAGCTGGGGGCTGCTGGGAGCCCAGACTTCTTATTTATCATTTTATTACACTGAACAAATGATTTTTCTTTCTCTCCCTGCTCTGCTCAAAGCGGATTCCAATTTGTGGGTAAAGAGGTAAAGACATCAATGTGCCCATAAAAGGAAAAATAAGCTTGTGGCCCTTGATTTTTTTTGTCTGCTGAACAGAGTTACACAATTTGGTGTTACAGCCTCATTTTCTCTATCTATCTATCAATCTATCTGTCTGTCTGTCTTTGTATAGCTATGTCTGTCTGTCTGTCTGTCTGTCTGTCTGACTGACTGACTGACTGTCTGTCTATCTATCTCGGTCTGTCTGTCTGCCTTTCTCTGTCTAGCTATATCTATCTATCTATCTATCTATCTATCTATCTATCTATCTATCTATCTATCTATCTA